GGCTCGGCCCGTCCACCTCGAGCATCTTAAAAAGGGGGAGGGGGAGGACAAACTGAATTGCAGCGAAATTTTCCCTCGTCCCGCTCCCCTTCCTCAGGGAGGAACTAACTACACCCGAGAGCGCAGGCACCTGCGCTCAGCCCTCCGCGGCCAACACACATCGCCACGAAACCAGTCTTAGAGCAGCCTAGTATGAATGTAATGGCAGGAACCAAAGCCCCTGCTTTCTGTTAAGTCTGTCTGTCCCTTTGAGGACTAGTACTACCTCAAAATACAAAAAATAGGCTGAAAACACAAGGCCAGGACTCTTCACCTCTGTCATTTAACAGGTCAGACGTGACGTCCCCGGGAGCCAGAAACCACGGTGAAGCCTCTGCCCTCCGTGTGACAAAACATTTCAAGTGAAGCTGTGTATTTCAGCTCAAGGCAGTACTTGTTCAGCTTCAAATCCTGACAAACATGAAAAGGTAGGTGGCTGCGATTAATTAATCCCCCCAAAAAAATATTCAAGAGACACCCAAATATCTAGAAGGTGAGACACATGTAAAAACCCCTAATAAACCTTTAATTCGCATTTGTTTTGGTTTTGTTGTTTGTCTTTACAGGACAGGGTGACAAATTACAACAAACATCTGATTTTTCCTCAAATGTTCAGTTACTATACACATTCCCATCTGTCTTCCAGGAAGGGATATTGGTCAACTTAACAGTTTAAGGTAAAATAAGCTGCGTAATAGTACATATTACAATAATAAAATGTACAATGTTTACAAGAAATATATTTTAGAAGCAAGATAGATGCATTTGCATCGAGGCGACCTTTTAAAATGCCACAACTATTTTTACATTCACTCTTGCAACAGATCACAAGATGGGGTCACTAAGGTCAGGTTAACAAATCACTATGATGCACATCAAATACAACAAAATTAGTTTATATACATATATATAATACATATACATGTATATTATACATATACATATATGTATATAGTAAAACTCATCAAAATCTTACCAGACCTGGCACAATCTACTTACCCATCAAAAATATGTACTTGTCCTTGGTAAGTAGAATTCTGCATGGCTGATTATATATTATATATACTCATTCATTAGCATCTGAGACATAAAACTGAGGATTTAAAATTTTTCAGTTAACAAACTCTCCAATAATAAACATGGTGCCCACAAAAGCACAAAGGTAAGGCACAATAGGATTTTCTGTTGCAGAATAGTGTGCATCATGTTTACTTAACCATAAGAAAAACGTGCATTATTTGTGCAAGTTCATGCTGCAAATCCATCGTATCTACAAAGTAAAGTGAGTTTCAGTAAAATCTGTGGGACTAGTGTGCTTCCAGTCTCACCTCCTACAGGATATTCAGCTGGGCAATTAGGTAAAATTGTTCTAGCAGTGGGGATTAGTAAAGCCAATAATCTTAGATTTGCAACTAAGCTTCTCAGCAACAATTTTGTACTTGTAGGTAAATGTTAGCAAATACAGAAGCTTGGAATCACAAGATTTACCATCAGCTGTACTTCTAGTTTGTATCAGCCAAAATTGTTGCAAGGAAGAATGTACCTTTTAAAATTTTAACAAGTAACTGGTTTGTTAAAAGAAGCTATAATGAATTGGGAAAGTCACCTGATCCCAATGGTATTTTGTCACAGCCCTGGCAATCTTAGTAAGAAATACAGCTTTTCACAAAATATTTTTCCAGTATCTGCCAATTGCTTCTTTATTGCTCACAAATTTGAATTCATTACAACTGGTATCAGACCTTTCACACAAAATCATAGTCATGTATTTTAATATAAAACCTATAAAAGATATTTAACCTGTATCTAACAATTGAAGGTATTTGGCTGCTTGTCAGGATACAGCCAAAACCGTATAAAACATTAGGTTTTGAATAAAATAGGAAGCTTATTCACTGCTTCAATGCAGACATCCTCACAGAACACAACCATTTTTGCCACCACCAGCATTTACATTTATATACAGAACCCAGTACATCCGCATTCAGTTCGTTTTCCCTCACACTTATATGCAACCACTAATGCCAGATTAACTTTTCCCATCCCCTAGCTGCAGAAAAATATTCTTATACAGCAACAAAAAAACCCCTAATATTGACCAAAAAAGAAGTTGTTGGGTTTTTTTAACTTATTTACCATCAGGAACTGTAGGTTGTTTGTTACAAAATACCCACAAGATTATTTCACAGGAAACTATGGAAATACAGGAAGTCTTCTTTTCTCCATGCTTTTGTATTATCAAAAACACTTCTTGGTGCAAAAATACAGTAACCACATCTGCAAATGTATAACGAATTCGGTATTCCTCATGCAAAACTTAAATGCATTGGTTTACTATAGCCCCGGAAAAATTCCTGAAGCTTTTTTTTTTTCTTTTTTTCTTTTCTTCTTTTTTTGTCAGCTCAGTATTACTGCCTCATTGCTAAGTCCCTTTGGAAACAAGATTTCTGGAACGTTCAAACTTTTATTTAATTCATTAAAGTATTACATACAAAAAGCACTAAAAAAGGAAGACGGCAGCCAAACAGGACAACTCCTGTTGCAAGTAACAGTCCTAGCAGTTGTAGAAAGTCTTCTCAGGAACTTCCCTGAGAATTAGTTGTGCCTGTCCGAAGACGCAGATGTGACATAGAGTTCATGTGTTTGTTTGATGGCTTCAGTGGAGTGTTACAAGTAAGAGCCTGGGGAAAACGGTGATGATACCGATCCAGCCGTAAGTATTTTACCGTTACCAGCTTTCCTATGAGGCAAAGAAACAGGATAAAGAGAAACCTTCTAGCTCAGTATTCTTATATTTTGCTTCAGGACGTAATTCACACGAACACATCATTACGCTGAAATTAGTTTACCAGGTGACAACTACTAAAAAGATCCAGGTTTTGTTGCAGCTCAGTACTTTAGATATAAAACATTTCATCATTAAAAATACTCTTAACTGTACCCATCTTCTGTCATTTCTACCCACGTTTTACTATAAATCCCCATTCCTTACCATCAAACCAAGAGCCATGCAATGCCTTGAAAGCCTTTCCAGCATACTCTGGAGAGAGACACTTGACATATACACAACCCTGCATTAAGAAAAAGAGAGGTTTGTGGGTTTTTTGAAGTCTGACAGACAAGGATAAACGAAGCATTAAGATGTTATTGGAAAGACACTCACTTCACGTGAATTTTTGTCAACAGCGATATGAACAATTCCATCATTATCACTGCATTTCTCCAAGATGGCTTCTTGAATTGCTAGGTGCCAGTGATCGCCTATTTCCCTGTGCAAACAAAAAAAGATTTAATTGAACATGTAACCATTCACAATCTCATCCTTCCCCAGTGCATTTGGTTTCTCTGTAACTTTCCATCATTCCCTGTTAAACGCCTTCGACGCAGATTTAATACCTTAAGCTACTGCATATTCAGTAAATTGAATTCAATGATCCACTTTAGAAAATTCACCCTCAGAATCACACGGAATAACCAGTATCTGGGCAGGGGGCGGTGGAGTTGTCCATCACTTTCCTGTCTGAAACCACTTGCCATCATAAACTTGTCTTCCCACACCTGCTCGGAGGGGCTGGCCAAGGAGAAGGCCGCTCCTGGGCTGTCCCTGCTGCCATGGAGGAGCAGCAGGGGAAGGCAACAGTGCAAAAACCTTTGTCCCTTTACTGCATCACCTCTACCAGCAGCCACGGAAGCAATGGTACATGCCAGGGTTC